CGCCCTGCACACAGCACCGAAGGCGCACACCGTGTCTCCACAGGTCTCTGCAGAGGGCGAGACCCGGGCAGGTCAGCAGACCCGGCTGGGAGACGCAGGGACCACAGCTCCCCCCGACCCCACTCACGGCAAGGTCCGTCTGAGGCCACATGCAGGCTGATCTGGCGTGTGCAGGCGTGGACATGCAGCTCACATTCGCTGGCGTACGTGTTCCCGTCAGAGCCACACACGGGCTGGGCCAGGGCCACGCACTCCGAGGGGCACACGCAGCGCCCAGTCTCAGCCTCGCACACGGCTCCAAAGCGGCACTGCCCACAGCGGTCTGGGGAGGAGGCTCCATCACCACGGTGACCGGGACACCCGCCCCCAGCAAGACCCCCTGGCCCGCCACTGACCGCAGGGTCCTCTGTGAGCCACCAGGACCTCTCGTCCGAGGACGCAGGCCGCGGACTCCAGCTCGCAGGTGCTGCCGTAGGTGACCCCGTCGCTGCCGCACACGGGGCTGTAGACTCTCGGACACGCGTGCTGGCACACACACTCGGCTTCCCCGTTCTTCACGGCACACACGGCCCCGAACAGGCACTGCACCCCGATGCACGGGGACGGGGGCTGATCTGGGGAGGACACGGCACTCAGCGGCCCCGCCAGCCCCAGGCGGACGGACGCACAAGCCCCCAGCTCTGAGCAGCAGGCCCTCCTGGGTGGGGATGGCGCGGGAAGAGAGGGCCAGGAGACGGGCCAAGGCACAGACGCAGCAGAGAAAGGGACAGACACGTAGCAGACGTGGACAGGGACACAGACCCAGACGCCCCAGCCTCCTGCAGGCGTGCGGGGTGGGGCTTCCTGGAGGCCCACAGTGGGCCCCACCAGGGCCGGCTCACCCAGCCCCCCGGGCCATGACCCTGACCCCAGCCACCCTGGGACACGTGTGCACGTGTGGGGGCTCTCTCTGTGGGTAGGAAGAGTCTGCAGCCCGGAGTCAGACCCAGGGCGCACGGGGAGGTGTCTGTCCACTTGCTCTGAGGGCTACACGGCCAGGCAGCAGCGAGCCACCCCCCCGCGCGCTGGGGCAGACCT